CCTCAGAAATTTAAACATAGTTCTGGCATGTTTTGGAATATTGACGTGATATAAAAAATCTTACTACAAATTAAAATTAGGCAATTCTTTTTTTGAACTTATGTATCATATCAATTATTCTATATTAGGCAGCAATTTCAATCGTATACATAATATGCACAATTGAGGTAAATATATTTAAGAGAATAAATTAAGACATATTCAAAAAGTTGGGTCTCATTTTTAAAGTAACTTAAAGAAATTTTTAGATAAATATTTCTATTAATTATAAAAAAAAATTTGAATCAAATCGATTAGTTAGGTTATAAAAAATAGTTTCAGTGTCTCGTAACAATGCTTAAAATCTGTTTACACTTAGCCACTTAGTACATGACCAAATGTTCCAATTGGTTTTAAACACTAAGTCTCTCCATTATACGATAACACAATGGAACAATAAGCCTTAATGGATCCCCTATGGATCGTCGGTATAACCAAATCTAACCTAGTTACTGTATCAGTTATAATATGTGCACCATATATTGATAAACTTATTTCGGTTAGAACAGATATAAGTATTTTGACAAAACTGAAACGATTTTTTTTATGAACCCAACCAATCACATATTTTGTAGCAGAATGTTAAAATTTTTTCATATAATATAAATTTTTTATAATATTTATTTTTTACAGAAAATAAAGTAAAATACTATTAGTATTTATTTTTACAAATAGTTGTGATTTGCTATAACAAAATTTTATTTTAATTAAATGAGTTCTTTAGCTTACCAGACAGGATTTACAAACACTCATTATCAACAGTTTTTGTATATATGCATTAGTTTTATCTATATGTCTCCGTATATGTCTTCAAATGTCAATCTGAACCTATCAAATTTGAAGCCGAAGAAAACGTGTTGAAGACGTGAAGCTGAAAAAAATTAAAATTATTGTCTGAGTTATAGCAATTACTACAATTTAAAACCCCCAAAAATTATTCTTCTTTCTGAAGAAGGGTGAAAAAAAAGACTACCATCGTATAAACACTTTATTAAATAATATAACATCGTTTTAGAAAAAGCAAATTCGTCTAAAAAATAACAAACATAACTTAAGTGAAACTACTTTGATTAGTTAATTAATATATAAGTCATGATGATTGAAATGAAGTGCCATCTTATTGATTTATATTTAATAAACAAATAACTTGCCATCATTTTAGAAGTGTACATTAGATGGTCTCTGAAATTAAGTTGAGCAAGAGGTTTGGTTCTAAGTAAATAATTACGAGCATACGTTTACCTATAAATGCTACTATAATCAGTAATGAATCAATAGGGAAGCAATAAACGATAATTTAAAATATTCAGTCTTCTATTGACATAACCAATCTAAAGAAATATTTGTTCTTCCAAAAGTGTTACATGTGCTTAATTCGACAATTTGCAGCAATGTTATAAATATTATTTTTTTTTAATTAATTGGATGCATTAATTTAATAAAAATTTAATGTTTAAAAACAATCATAGAACATTAGCTTACATATAACATATTCTCAGAGTTTTAATAAACCCTTCCCATGTGAGTTGGTAACACAATTGTAATAATATATACAAATGTTTGTAGTCTCTCTCAAAACAAGAAGATTGTTTAACTGCTGTAGATCACCTTACGAATTATTACGATTTGAATATATGTATGTATCCATATCATCAAGATTTCATAACAATGAGTAATAAGCGTAAAGTCACATTTATTTGTCATAATATCCTAAAGATTTTCCAACAATTAATGAGAATCTTCAAATCACATTTGTAATTAAAAGTATATTATCACCCAGCAGTTATGAAGAAAAGACCCTCTGAAATATAATATCTGTAAGTTGTTGTTCGGTATTACAACAAACAAATCCCAATCTCTTAATACAATATTATTAATAATTTAGAACATTGTTTAGAATAGATTCTTTTACCTACTAAACGAGATAAACGTAAGTGGATATTTTGTACTAAAATCAAATAGTTATATAGTTATATTCAATGATTTGCAAACATCCTTTTCGTCTAGGTAAACTTCCTTTTCATTAAATTTAAAATGAAAATATTTTAAATTAAAATTTTTATAGTACATATTACACATTATGTGAAAAGAATATCTAGTCGTATTTTTCGCCTTTAAAGTAGGTTCTACCGTGAGCAATAAAACCATGTCAGCAATTGGCTGAAATCTGGATTTTTTGTGGGTTTATTAATGTATACGCTTAAATTCCTTTAGAGATTTTAGCCCAATGCTCTAATCATTTTTCGTTATCCTATTGAAATATAGTCTGATATTCCTTCAGCGAATTTCACTCAAATCCTTCATATCCTTTTCGTAGGTTTATTACAGCATGATTTTCAATTTCTTTAGCAAATTTTCTTTTATAACCGAAATTGACTTGAATCGTTTTTTTTGGAAATTATGGTTTTATCTTCAGAAACAAATATGTAAATGTGATTTTATCTACACTCGGGTGTTGTGTGATCCTAAAATATTCTATGAAAGAAAGTTCTTCAAATTCTCTCCTTACTCTAAATACATTTTACACATTATGTAAACATTAATTATTCATATATTAAATCTTACTACTTTAATCGCATCTAATGAACTGATCAAGGGTTCTCACACTATGTAGCGGAGAAATGAAAATGTGACCAAAGACACATAAATAAACGCAAACCAATTAAAAACAATTAATATTGTTTAAATTTGTGTATTTATTTTTTGTGTGCCACATATCACTCAAAACACTTAAGTATTTATTTCAGCTAAATTGCAGAAAAATGTCAATATAAACATTTTAACCGCCAAATAGACAGGCTACGACAGAGGAGGAAGGTGACTAATATCGTAGGCCGAACAGAGAAAGATCGTCGAATTCATTGGAACTAACTTTACGCGTATTAGTGAGAAGGCAGCGAAATTGTATAAATTCCATATATGAAATCGAAAGAGTTTCGACTTCATTTAACCCGCATAGAATTTTAGTAAGAGTAAATTTTTCAGATTTATGTTCAGTATATCGAACCCCTTAAAGTTAACCGATATATTTATAATTAAATAGAATAATCATTCAAAATATTGAACAATTAAGAAATTAAATCAAATTCTTAAATAATTATAATCAGAGTTTACTTGGAAGGAATGCTGTTCTCAAGAATCATTGACATGTTCTTTAAAATAAAAAAATATATTAATTTTAACCTTAATGTACATATCTGAGATACGCTAAGCATAGCGAACCTCTAACGGAGCATTTCGCAGAAACTGAAACTGAAATCATGGAGATAAAATAACAATTAATTGAACATACATATCAAGAGCAAAGTTTATATATCAGCACATAAGCAATCAAATAAAACCCGCAGAGTAATCGTCGTCTAAGAGCCACAATAGAATAGAATAAGCATTCGAAAATGAACTTGCAATCGCAAACTATGTATATCTGGAACTATATCATACATAAAGTTTTGAATATAACAAGATTCAAATTTATTGTGAAAGTCCCATCCTCAACGCAAAACTAATAAAATATAGTGGAAGTATGTTATAGTAAAAGAAGGAGGTACAAGTAGTACGAGTAGTTCTAACTAATAAACATCTAAAATCTGACAGGAATAAGATTATCAACTTTAGGATGATTTTAAAATTTATTCAATTAGAATAATCTGACTAAACGCATCGTATATATCAAAACTACATTACACAAGGTTTAATTCAAGTCCTACTAAGATGTCATCCAAAGATAAAAGTTTTAAAAATCTTTACAAAATGCTTGGTAATTTGTCTCAGGATTAGAGCTTCAAATACTATTAAAATCTCAAAAATGTTTACCATAAAATCTACACAGTGGTTTAACTCTATTAGTAGTAGTAGTAATAGTAGTAGTAGTAATGGTAGAGACGAATTGTTGTAAGCGTGACTAAGAATCACCTGTATTAACCAAAGCTAACCTGAGCTAATTTTAACCATAATTCTATAAAATATTTGTATTTTTTATTAATAATGTAAATATATGTAAATATATATATAGCTAACCTTGAAGGTATGACAAAAAAAGTTAGAGATAGAACACCGAGTGTATTCAAGAATAAGATCTATTTGCATTTTATTAATTTATATATAATTAAAACTGGGTTGAAATATACAGGCAAAAACTTAACTTAATATAATTATATTATATCATTTTTTAATATGTTAATTATTATATTTTTTTCAGCTGTTAATTATCTTAATTTAAATAATTTTTAAACCAGAAAAAGTTTATTTAATTAAGTAAAACTCTCTATACAAAACTAAAAATTATGAATAAACATTTATTATAATTATAAAAAGGAGTATATATACATGAGTTTTTATGTGGATGAACGAAAAGTGGAATTTATAAATGTAATATGATATATATTGTATTATAATTTTCCGAATATGTTCATTTTCAGCTGTTAATTATCTTAATTTCAAACGTTTTCAAACCGGAATAAGTTCATTTGCTTTAATGAAACTGTTCACATTAACAATATTTAAATGAAAAAAGTGAAACTTTATAATTTACGAAAGACAATGAACTTCCGCTTTTGATATTGTAGTAGATAAAACAGTCGGTGTTTGCCGTTTCATAATTTTCAAAATATTCTGAGAAAAGAATTAAAAGATAAAAATAAACAAAAAATTTCATTTGAAGTTCATTTTGTTCATTCGGTGGATACTATTTTCTTCTTTGGCTTTTTATTTAAGTGTGTGAATGGATTGCGTTACGTGAACGTGAACGGCTTTTATACGCAAAAGAAATACTGCATAAAAAATCTAAAAAAATATATCTCGAAACAAAAACTCGTAATAGTTTGTATTTTACTAATAATTGGCAGAAATGTTCATAAAAATTGTTTATTAACTAAAAGTTATTAATGAAAAGTTATTTGCGGCTTCCAATTTAATAATACAAAGTAATATTCATTTTATTGCAACGTACCAAGTAGAAGACCATGAATGCCATGGGCTTATCAACAGATCCAGCATTACTGGATGTTGAACTACCACATACACTAATTGAATCACCCTCGGTATCCACTTTTATGCCAGAAGAGGAGGCTTCCATTTGCCCGCTGCTCTCAACAACTAATGGAACCTCAACTCCATTGACATTTTCACATCCACTCACACCATGTGCCGATAACGATAGCAATACATCGGCTAATCTATGCAATGAAGATGCCAAAGTTGATGAGACCAGTTCCTCATCTGGCAGCAGCTCTGGCATAGGCATGCACGTTCCAGACACAAGCGCAACTCTATTTAGTAAACATGCCTACCAACATCTACAGCACAACAATGGCATTACTGTTCAGGTAACTATTAAGATGATGGAATTCATTATAAATATCTAGCACTGGAATACTAAAAAGCTAAAGTGCGTAAATTTTAAGTAAATAATGTTCAATTTTTGTTTCAAATTATAAATCAAAACAATTTTTTCAAGTAATTTATTTATTGAATTTCAACAAGTTAATATGATAATTGATGCTGCCTGAAAGTATCTGCGAATAATTGTAAACAATTTAGTACTAACAATAAGTCCTAACTGTGAAGTGAATCGTGCGGAATATTACAACGTTTATACAGTTTATATAGCACTAAATTATAATGGTAGGCATTGTTCAACAATTTTTCCAAATCGAAGAAGTTTATTCAAATTTGACGGAATGATGAATTATCATTAATTCTCAATTAATAATATATTAAATTTGATAATGAAAATAAATTGTGATATATACAATTCTCAAAATCACTCGTTTATAAATAAAATAAATTCTCAAGTCTTATTGATATTGTAACAAAATATCTGAACAAAAAAAGTCAGTCTGTGAACTAAACGCAGATCACAATGAGTTTTCTACTTTCATTTTGTAGGAGTGAAACTTGTATGAACAGTAGTCATTCAAAAGTATCGGGAAATATTAATATTCTAATTTATATATTGAAATATTGGGTTTTTTGAAACCAAATTTTCACGTGAAAAACACGATATCGTGATCCTGATTTGGTAGTACGCATATTTAATATAAGGCTTGCCATTTTATAAAACGATTAGTTTCATAACATCACATACATATATAAATAATTGTAAAAACTTACTATAAAAATGTTGTTAATCTTCTATACTGTATATTCTTCAGAGTTAAGACTCATGTTTCGCTTGGTGTAACTATCAACTAACAGGATTAAAAAAAATCCATCAATAACTGTTGAAAGATAATTGCATCGAGGGATTCACTGTACCTTTTAACATTCTGCCTGGAGATGTTACACAAACTGTGAATTCTGATCACTACAGCCATATGAAATTAAGCCACAGGATATGTTATTTGTGTGGATATGTGTGGAAGATACGTAGTTTCACCAAGACGGCGTCCAAAGCTATATAGCAAATCATATTTTTCTTTTTTGTAAAACGAAAATTTTATGGAAATGTTATTTTGCGTTGATTTGAATTAACCACAAATATAATATGATTTAACACCACTATATATTTTTGTGGGTTGGACTACGTAAAGGAACGTATTTATATGGACAAACATTCAGTTTTTGATGCATTGAAAATAAAAATCCATGAATATATATATATGTTATATATATATATATATGTATCCACATATAACACTGACGCTACAAGAAACCGTTGTAAAATCAGAATCTCTTTTATCTCTTTCATTTTAACTCGTGCTCCAGAGGCAGCCTATTTCAATATACCACACCTATTCAGCAACATGACTTTGTCTCTGATGTCCATATATAGTAGTTATATATTATGTAGTATTGCTCTGAACCTAAGTTATATTATTAAAACAACACACCTTTTTATTAATTTCAGTCAAAAACATAAATTTTTGCTATAAACTCTGTACCGCTTAAATTGTGATTGTAAAAAACAACTTCTTTTAATGCATCAATTCCCGTGAAATATTTTTTTAATTCATTATATACAAACCAATCCACTTCAAACATTACAAAGCTATTCAATTATCTACAAATTCACCGAATCATTTTCACTTTCTTACATTTTTCCATACTTACAAAGTTCAGTTCACACAAATACTCATAGTTACGTTGTCAATAAATAGCGATTTACAGAATATCAGACCTCAATAATTCATCTTCAACGAATTATTTGAAATTTTTAACCTAAGTAAACTAGTAGTACACAACACAACATCCCTTTTATTGCAAATTTGTTTGTTATTTTTTGTACATAGCTTTTGCATGCGCTTTTTAATTTTTCATGTCCTTACACTCAACTTCGCTATTGTTTTGAGTAAAAAAAAAACTCCAAGATATTAGCGACTTCAGTGTGAATATATTCAATCTTACAATAAAAATAAAATGAGAAAAAAATGTGTTTTATAGAATAAATTCTTCAAATAAAAATATATTATTTTAATACTTTCGTTGCCTTTTCTTTAGACAAATCGGATAATTTCATAAATCAAGTAAGCATGACGATTATATGCCACTCAAAATGAGCGGTTCAACTAATCATTAGAATTCTATCATTAATGACAATGAGCCCCAGTACAAAGTCGAATATAAGTTGAGAAAAAACTTCTTCTCACAAAACCCAGAATTGACGAAATGTTTACATATGTAAAGTCTAGTTACCAATAAAGAACTTAAAACAGTGATAACAAGATTATGTTTTAAAAAATAGTACATATGTGTATATTATGTTATCTAGAATTGATATGTAGTCTCAATAGTAATAATATAATCTTATAAAATCCACTTAAAAAGTAAAAGTACTACAAACTCGTACACAGTAGTGTTAATAGAATAGATCAATATGATACTCAAAGTAATTATCTAAAAAGAGTCAAAAATATTAAAAGTTTCATATTTTCCAAACCTTTAATGCCGTTCATACGGACTGAATAAGTAATAATTTTTTAAATAACATATATAAATCTTCATTGTTCCGCACCCAAATTGTCTAAAATTGTAGTAAAAAATCAATCGTTTGTTTTTTAATATCGATCATTAAAGCTCATGTCTTGAATTATCAGATTGCATGATTGCTTCAAATTTGAACACGATTAAGCGATTCTATATTTAGTAATAACACATTATATATGTTTTTAAAACAGTTCCTGTGTTTTTAACGTTATATGAAGAATTAACATATTTCAATAAGAACTTATAATTCAATAAAAACAATAAATAAAAATCATTTTAACATAATAGCCTGCGAAAAAATATTAAAATGTCACATTTCGGAAATTTTTTTTCTATTTAATAATAATAGTACATTAATACATAATGTTTTATTTATATAATGTTAAGAATATAATACATAATACATAATAATACATCAACACAAATACTTCTGGAGATGTTACTGCTTAATCCTAATGTGTTCCATGCAAGATCTAGTGTCTAACTACAAAGCCAATACCGAATTCCCAACTAAAAACTTAGGATGCTCTCCGGAGCATATACGGATAATCTTTCAAAGATTCGGGTTCTAACCTGTCGTTTTATCAGATACTTTTCAGAGTAAGTTAAAGGTATCGTATACAAGTATACTTTTAACATAAATTTTTATAATAAGTAATTATAGTTTAAAATTACATTGAGTCTAGTCTATTCTTATGTACCATAGCACTTCATAATCTAATTTGAACTATGCAGCGGTTGTCCTAGATCGAATTTCAGTATTTCAATATACACTTATTATAGCAGTTACAATTTAAATTAAAAGAAAATATTATATATCGTAATTTTTATATAATGATATAAATATAAAATGTCAGTTTTCATGACAGCTGTATCCAAATCTAAAGTTATCGTATTAATTTTTACCATACATTGCATATTAAATAAAATTAATTCATATCATTTAATTTATATGGTGTTCCATTAGACTCTAGACATTATCACAAAAATTTTCCCAAAGAATATTCATGCATTTATATATATATTAAAAATCGACGATCAAACAAAATATTTTCATTATCGACTCCAATATCTACTTCTCTGTATTACTAACATCTCACCAACTTAATATTCCCTTTTTAGACTAGATGTGTGTAGGGTATAAAAATCCGAATAGAATCTTTGAAATATTTTAATGTTTATAAACAAATTATCATCTTTTAATTTGCTTATTGCTTTTTATAAATATAAACATTATACTAAAATCTAAAACAAACATTTAACGCTAATTTTTCAGACAAGAACCTGTATTAAAAAAATTTGAGTTTAATGCTTTAAAAGTTTCAAGCTCGTAATATATTCGTAGAGAATTGTGAAATAATTAAACAGTTAATTATATTAATTTAAAGGCGAAAAAATGCAACAATCTCATATGTGTAACGACACATTTTTAAAACTTAAAATCAGCTAATATCTTTTGAAACCAGAATTTATAATTTCACAGGTATTATATATAATAGAATTGCTTAGAAGTATTTACGCCCAACATAAAAAAAATATTAGCTAAATTTTCAGCTTAAAGCCTGTCACATCACTTTTCACCCTGCCTACATAACAACCCAGTTCCAAAAGCAGGTAAACAATGTAACCTATTGAATCATCTTTTCAGATAGGCGCATAATCTGGTGCAAACATATTCAAGCTAAAAAAGCTCAAGCGAAACTACAGGCTCCCAAACTACATGGCTTATAAGGTATCGGTCACCTTTATTGATACAGCTATTTAATAATGTCAGTGCTCCCAATATTAAAATCACAGTCTGAAATGTTAAAAGCTATTATACCATGGAATATCAGTCTTATCCTAGAATTGCACTGAATATATGAAAAATGCTCTGATTCTTATATGAGTCAAAATACGATAACAACTTGATTATTACAACCTAATCAGAGGAGGTGGAAATTTCCTGAAATGCATCTGATTATATATTTAATACCATTATCCAGGTTGTATCTCGCGTATATTTCCAGTCAAATTGCAGAATAGAATTGAAATTTATTGCAACCCATTTTATTAGACGGAAGCTGATTATAAAAATCAATTATTTTATAGTTAGTATTCCAATCCAATCTTGCAATATATGAACTTTGATAGTGTAAGCATAACTCTAAAAATTTTACTTATGAACTAAAATGCTTTTCAATATCACTTTTCTTTATCGTTACTTTAAACCCAGTCTATTCAGTATATATACACTATTTATAGAGTTTTACGGGTGAAAGCATTTGCTTTAACTCATTGAGAATATTTTAATATAATTTGATTGATTTTTTATAACAATTTAGATGAAGAGCATTACTTCCATTTGATTTGCAAATTTTTGATATTAAATAAATATTAAATTATAAATACTTTATATTAAGTAATTTGATTAATGATAAGTAGAAAAGTCACTTAAAATTCATATAGCTTCCTATATATTTATATTTAATTCATATACAGGCTAGTGTCATAAACACGGTTGCCACTTGAAATTTTTTTCCTGATGCTAAAATTGGTTTAAAAATTTTTTCTGTAAAAAAGGTCCAAAAGTTTTTTGGACCTTTTTGTTTTTCGTTCTGTATTTTTCATAGTGTTGTAAATGAACAAAATATAAAATAGTGAAAAGTTGCATTTATAAAAAAATTAATTGGAAATATCCACAATAAAGTTGAGTCCTCAAAAATGTACCATTTTTTGAACATGAGTACCAAACGAAAAAAAAAGTACCAATTTTGATACTAAAGTAAGTACCATAAGTGGCAACCGTGGTCATGAATCTCGCCAACATATTTCGAATTGTATGCACAGCTCCAAGCTATCTATCTGAAACTATATTATGTGATATGTTTAATTACAAAAAAATAATAATAAATTATTATATATATAAATGTTAGTGGGATTGTTATTATTTTTATGGACTTCACATATGTTACCTTTGCTTATCCAACAATACATTTTGAAATTTGATTACGTTTGTCTCATAAAACGTGGACAGTTGTTTGAATGATGCTACATTTGGTATTTACAAAACAATGGAAGAAAGTCGAGTTCGTATATTGAGAAAACCCCATTTTTTTAACGGACAAAACTCATTCCAAACCCAAAATTTGAAAAATGCAATTGTGACTACGATCTGCAAAAACTAACGTATTTTTGTTGTTTTGCTGAGTTTTTATTTGTAACTTACTTAGTTGACCATTACAGACATTTAGCTCATACCACTCATCGTTTCATCTAATTCAATACTTGTCGCCAACGCGTAAGGAATCATAGATCTTCTACGAGGCTGCCTCTTCGTTTTCATTGAAAGGTGTTTTTAAATGATGGGTTCCAAGCCTGAAGCATCAATTAATTTCCATTCATATTTTTAAGGATGTTCAAAAATGTCATAAAGCCGCATCAAGAATAGAAGCTGAAGTAGTAATTGATAGTAGTAATTTTCCAATATCATTATATTAGCATTTTCTTATCAATACCCTTTATATAATTATTGAGAGTACTCATTCATAATTACATTACTTTACTTATTACTTTCTATAAATTTTGTATAAATTTCATATATTTTTATAGGATACAAATGGTCATGGTCCAAATGGCAATATTACACTCTCAAAAGACGCTCCATCGTTTGTGTCCTGGAATTGGCCATTAATACGAAAGTGTACATTTTTTGCATTTATGTCCAGTTTACTCGCGATGTGCGCGGTAGTTGTGGCTATGATTATTACACTACCAAAAACATGCAATCCTAAGTAAGATAAAATACATTAAAATAATTATAAAAAATCATTTACCTCATTTATTTACAGAACGGCTTGGTATCGTGGTAGCGTGTTCTATGAAATATTCCCTGCTAGTTTCCAAGATTCCAATAGCGATGGATACGGGGACATACGTGGCATTGAAAATCGTATAGAATATCTAGCTTCGATGGGTGTTGCTGCAGTACGTCTTAATTCCATATTTCCTACTTCTCACTACCCTGATGACTATAAGAACACTACTTCCTTAACAAAGGTTGCACACGTTTTAGGAGACGTTCATGATGTAGCGCAGTTAGCGAAATCGCTACATGAACGCAATATGTCACTTATTTTAGACTTACCAATAAATGTGTTAGTGAAAGATTTGGGAAAGGTTTCAAGTACTACAAGTACTACAGAACAAAGCACTGAAAACAATAATACTAAAATGGGAACAACAACTACAGCTGCTGCCAATACTGTTATACTCAGCGAGAACATGATAACGGAAGCCATACGTAAATGGTTAAATATTGGAATAAATGGGTTCTATATAAAAGGACTAGAATATTTTACTGAAGATACCAATTTGTTACATCATTTAGCTGAATGGAAACGTTTACTTGGTCCCGAATGTGTGCTTATTGTAAGTGAAGCATTCTTGAATAATTTAAGTGATGACACAAAAGCAACTGCACTTCAACACATTGACCTCGTTGATGTACATTTAGAAGTCACGAACGGTACAAAACATATGGATGAGCGTATTAAATCAGTTTTAGAGGGTGCGGTGATACCACATGATAATGGCGCTTGGATTCATTGGTCTATTAGCGGTGAAGATAGAGATCGTATAACAACTGCAGCTGATCGTCACGAATTAATACTAGCTGCAACTCTTATGCAGCTGATGCTGCCTGGCACTCCCAACATTTTCTACGGTGATGAAATCGCTTTAGATGCTGTTTCTGATCCACACAATGAGCATAGTGACACAAAGCATTTACATCATTTACCAACAATGCAGTACCATAATACGACACAGCAATTTACCAGTCGGGAAATCTTGCCATGGTTGCCGAAAAGCGCTTCCTTGAAATTTGAACATTTTGAGATCATATCGCAAATGATCAAGCTACGTGATCGATCTCCATCAATCTATAAAAATGCCATATGCAAACCAGAAACCACCCTGCCAAATACACAAATACGTCGTAGTCATGATGATATATTAGTGGTAGAACGTGTATATCCGCGCAGAAATTCATTCGTATCCGTCTCCAACTTTGGCAAGAAACGTGTTACCATGGACATGACTTCCATGTACTACAGTGGCGTTGTAATGCTTCAGAAATCTCAAAAGGATAAAATTTATTTCAGTGACTTTGAAATTGGACCACTGGAAACCATTGTGGTAAAATTGGATAAATAGAAGTAGTAACTGGACTAGTTCTTTAATCAAAACAAATAAATTTTTTCTTTAATATAGAAACAAAATGTGAAAAGAGTATAACTTTTAAGAATGAACATGAAAATTTAAAAATTGTTAAAGTTGTTAAAATTGTGTATATAAATAATTTATATAAATAATAATTTATCTTTTTCCAAATTATTTTTTTATAAAAGAACACAAACTTTGTAATAGAAGTCTTAGCTCCCATCAAATTGCGCCATATTTTGTTATAAATAATGAAAAAACTTAAAATTTTTTTATTTTCAACTTAATACTTTTAATAAAATATTATATAAACTAAGTAATTTGCCACTATAACCTAAACTGATGAAAACCAAAACAAAAGGAAATTCATTTATTTTTTTATTGTATAAGTAATCTAAGTAAAACTGTATAAATATCAAAGCGAATTTAGAACAAATTAATTTTTTAAGTTCACAAAATATAAAAAATTAAAAATGTAAAGTACTTTTTACTTATATTCATTTTATTATTAATTTTTATTTAAATTTCCGTAAATTACTTCAGCAAAATGTATCTCATACGCACAGTGGGTCACAGCCAATTTAATGCAATATATGTATGTAATTATAATTCATGTTGCTATAACTCCAAAACTGAACACAATATGATAAAACTGGAAACACCAATTTTATAGCCCAATACCTTTAGGTCAATATTGCAACTATACATATTTAACACAATGAAGTAAATAAATCTAAAACGACAGATACTTTTTAATTCTTCAATCCTCTCTTTAATATAAGTGCTCGATTTTTAATCATTTTGATCAATGTTAATATTACCAGCTTTTGTGTGTTTGCTCCAAATATTCATTCTTCTACAACTTTTTGTTGTCTAAATCTAAAGATGTGATCCACCATAACCATAGGTATAGCAAAACTTCTGCAGAACTATGTTTGAGATCATTGTGCTGACAGTAACGGAGTAAGTTCTCTCAACTAAGCTTATTTTTACTACCAAGCGAGTTATTCTTAAGTGTTTTAAGATGTATTATTTCACCAATTTCTTCTAAAAAATTAATATTATAAAGTCACCGCAGCAAGATAAATATGATTTATAGTGTTTGTTTATTTTCAGGATTTAGTTATTGTTTAACACAATAGCCTCAATACTGATCCCATCAGAAAATACATAAAGGATAGAGCCCTGAAATTATTTGCGAAAACGGACAGACTTACCAACACCGCGTTATCAAATCTCAAAATGGTAGTAGGCTCCAGAGGTATGCAGATCTGAGGTCAATTATTGCTTAGTCTGATGAAGTGATAAACAATAATCTAGTGAAGGCGTAAAGAGGGGTTTTAAAAATACCTCGAGTTAAGAAATAGCTCCAACATAATTAATTTAATATTAATTAAGAATAACAATAATATGTAATTCTGTACAATGGACCTCACTGAAGTAATCACATATAATTTAATAAAATGAGTAACATCCAAAGAAAGTTATAGTAACTGTTGACTTATGGCTAGATACCCTATTCTTTTTAGGCGTAAGCATTATAATAATAATGTTTCTAGCTAAAAGTTTTGCAAGTGTACATATATTTTTAAAGTATTTTGTTCCAACGTTTTTGGAACTCAGATCTAATATTAACATTATAGACATTATTGTTAGACATTATTGCAGATATGAAAAAAATACATTTTATAACATTATCTATCAGAATTTATACGACGTAATACTTATTTATTTCTAAAGCAGTTTGTTTTAATTAAAGTATATGTATACAATAGAAATTAAACTAGATTCCAGAATCTTGATTAATTGGGCATTCATGCTACATTTTTGCTGATTTTATCGTGATCAGATATTTCATAGAAATAGTAGCTAATATAAAATAGCAGCTGAATTAGCTATTTCATACAATAGCTAATGGTTTTGAATAACAAACCTTAATAGGCATTTTAAAAGTACTACCTAATCACAAAGCAGTGCAAAGATGTACGAACGAAAACAAACAAAATCTGAGAGAGGAGCAGCTCAATCTAGATCGCCAGTAAATGAAGATGGACTAGTGTCGCATGAATGGGCTGTTAATCTAAACCCATAAAAAAGCAATTTCAAATTTTATGTAATGTAAATTAACTTTGTGTTTAACAAAATCCTTTACACATCCTTCTTTTTTTGAATTAAATATAGAAATGTTTACATTGGTTAAAATAATTTTAGTCGTATTAAAATTTCATATACCAAGATCCACAAAAATAATTTTTTTTTTATTACTAAAGTGGATCATATTTTTTGCAAACTAGAAATAATTATTATCTGAATATCACTTTTTTTGAATTTCTTCACTCTTTATCGTATGTCCACGAATATTTTAGGTACATTTAATATCAAAATCACTGCTTTCAATTCTTATAATATTAGAGGTAGTCTTTAGACTGTAAAACCCAAAATTGATCATTTGTACAGAATCATTTAAAATGGGTTCTTTTGATGACTGATTTATGAAAATATATCACTGAGTCCAGAATCTTACATCTCGGTAATGCTTTCATAATCTACGATAATGGAATAAATCAAACCGCTATTATAAACTATTAACCAAAATGAAGACTATTAACCAAAATGGCTACTCCATACAATTATTCATCAATTTTCAGAAGTGTCTTATTCAAAGAGACAGGAGTATATTATTTTTCGAACAATGAGATCAAGTTTTATTGCCAAAAAAATTATCTCAATTTAACTAGCACTGACTTAAGGTTATTGGTAAATATTTAATCTCTTGAATATAACCTGACAAATCAATTTACTTTGAATTCCAAGCTTCTTTTACATAATTTGTAGAAATATTATTGAAACTCAAAGTTGCACTGATCACGATTCATATTTTGTTGAATGGACTTACCATACCTTTTTTTATTACTTATATAACTCATATTGTTTTTCAGAAGAATAGGGCTATTTCATATAATAAAATATATGAAAAATAAAACAAAATAAAATATGCTATAGGTCACTAATGTTTATTCGTGCAGGAGAGTTCCTAACTATATGCCCATTTTTAGCGAAATAACACTACTTACGGACTTCTTAAGAGGACTCCATAGAAGTGTTCTGCTCGCCAAAAATAGCGATTTAAACTGGCTCTTTTAAAACCTATTTTTTTAGGCTATAAGTTTAAACTGAGCTAAAAATGGGAAGATTTTCATATTAGAGCCAGCTATTGTGAATAAATTCTTTCACTACGTTATAAGCTAATATATGTATATAACTTCTCGAGATATTAGCTACATAATAATATAGTTTTTACATTGAATATACTCGCACTAACACAAACTACTCCATGCATTGATTACACAAACAATTGGTAGTAATAAATAGACTGTTTGTAATTATTGGTTGGTATATAAAAATTTTCAAGTTTAAAGCTCCATATCTTGAAAACTAAGTTATAAAGTGTGCTGATTATTTAGAAATACTTCTTTTATAAATATGCCTTATAAAATGGAAGCGCTTGAAAAATCGGAATCAAACGTTTCAAAACATATATATTATTATAACGTTATTTTTAATAGGATAATGTAGTTTGAACTACATTCATAAATAAATGGTACGGTTAAGGGAATAGATAACATTCGATAATAAGCCACAACATAATGAAACAGAATTAAAAATACTATTTATTAGCGGTAGAAGAGAATAGGGAAATTTGAGATTAAGAGAATCACTGTAAGTCCCAACAATTTTAAAATTGCTAGCTTATAAAAATAATAAGTAAATAATTATGAGGTATATTAAAAAAAGTAAAAGTTGACCATGTTTGGGCCAAAATTTGAAGGGGTTCCGGTAAGCCGATTACATTTAAAAGAAAGGCCATCTCAAAAACAATAGTTTTGTGTTGCAGGATTTCAACGCTCCTGATCAACGTTTTGAGCATGTTCATATTGATATCGTGGGACCTTTGCCCTATAGTAATGGTATGCGGTATTGCCTGACATGCATTGACCGGTTTTCAAGGTGGCCGGTGGTGGTACCATTGGCGGAGATTACGGCAGAATGTGTGGCTGAGGTTTTAATTAAGGATTGGATAGCGCATTATGGTGTGCCGAAAAGGATTACGACAGACCAGGGACGACAATTTGAATCCAAGCTTTTCGATGAGCTAGCCAAAATTTTGGGGTGTGAAAGGCATCGAACTACAGCATATCATCCACAGTCAAATGGACTTGTCGAACGTTTTCATCGCACGCTAAAGTCTGCACTGAAGTGTAAATCAAGTGTTGAATGGACAAGGGCCTTGCCAATTGTTGTAATGGGATTAAGAGCGGCATTTAAAGAAGATTTGCAAGCGACACCGTCGGAATTAATTTATGGGGTAAATATACGTTTACCAGGAGAGGTGTTTGATGGTGATTTTAAGCAAGTATCGCAAACAGAGTTTGTTAAGAAGTTAAGGGAAACTATGAGCGAACTGAAGCCATTGCAAACATCGCGTCATATGACGGAAAAGCCATTCGTATTTAAAGATTTGAAAAGCAGTACGCACGTATTCTTACGTGATGACGCTGTGCGACCACCACTGAAACAGCCGTATGAGGGCCCATATGAAATTTTATGTCGTGGTGAGAAAACTCTAACAATAAGGGCAAGAGGACGCACGATGAACGTCAGCATGGATCGAGTGAAACCAGCATATTTTGCAAATGAAGCTGATGAAGGTTGTTGCCAAGATAGTGTCAAGGTGTTAGATGATGACAGTAACAAGCAGATAGCACCGAAGGTGACTCGAGTGGGTAGAATAGTGCGTTTTCCATTGAGACTTATGAGGTAGTAATAATGTGTAATACGGATAGAATTTGTCGTGATGCAGCCGTCAAATTCTAGAAGGGGCTGTGTGGTGAGAATCAACAAAGTAGGCTAAAATTGTCAGATTCTCTGATATTTAAAAATATTTTATTTAAAAATACTTATTCAGATTTTTTCAGTCAGTTGGTCAGTCAGTCAATTAGTTAGTGTTTCTAAAGTTGTATTAAAAATAATAAAAGTTTGTGTTACAATAAATACTGTTTTTTATTAATAAAAGCTATTTGGTTATTGTAATCACAACATTGATACATCGGAGGAACTAATTGACAATTTTAGCCTACTTTGTTGATTCTCACCACAGTTTCATTTCAACATCTTTACTGGATCAGAATACAACGAATTTTGTTCGGCTAATTTCTGTTTTGGCACACTGTGCGTCGTGATTAAGTATTTTGGTTAATTTCAATATTCCGGCAAAGGTTGCCTATTATGCGATAGAAGATGCAACGATTTGTGACTTGTTTAATTATTATAAAAATTAAATACTAGTTGGCATTAGATGGCGTGTATAATTTTAGTTATTAGTAACTATAAAAA